ACCGTTCTAATAAAAATGGAGTTCAGTTTGAACCACAGCAGTATTACAATAAGTTGTTCCCTTTTATAAGATTTTACAATTAAATTATTTTAAAATATTTTTACGAAAATTGGCTCGCTTCATTAGTTTCAAGATACAAGGAATTTGCATCTAATGAATCAAAAGTATATTTCCATATATTTCTCCAATGTATTAAAATCTGAAATTTGTTGTTTTGTTCTCCACAGCTCACACTTCGAGTTTTCATAGATTCTCGTTGTTTCTAATCTATCTATTCAAAACATATTTCCTTATATTCTTCGCTTATGTTTAACTGAGAACTGTATATGATACAAAGGATAAACTGTATTCATCAGGTTCGAACTAGGAATTAATGTATCAAGTGGTAATGACACCTACATTAGTTTTGAGTTCGATTAATTAAATTATTATTGTTTGACTAGTTTGGATTTGGACTTCAGCCCAAATAATTTACATAGTAATCTATAACTGACGATTAATCTATTTTTTAGTATTAATTGGAAAGTATTCAAATTCGAGTCAGCTAATATGGTATCTAGTCCATTCTATAGCATTATTAAAAAAAAAAAAAAATGTAGCAAGTGAATATCGTAAACATGTAGACAACGCGTAAGAAACACAAAATCAGAACATTGTCGGTAAACTTTATGCTCTAGCGTAATATCAATTTACAAAGAGAAAGAACCATAAGAAATGCAGGTACATGGGGTTGAAACAATGTCATGTTGGTTTCAAGGTCGCTGCAACATGCGATCACGACCTAAGATTTTGACTAGCTAGTGGTAAATCGCAGCTTATCGTTTATTTTTTGTTACACGATCAGTCAAAAATCGTTATTTTATATCTAAAATATTCAGTGATTTAGAAAGTAAAATTTCAGCAAATTGTGACTAGTTGCAGAATCATTTAATAAATGAATAATATTTAATCGTTGGTCGCAATTGCATGTCACAAAAACATGCAAACAACAGGCCAGTAACAAAAGCAAAATTACTCGATTTCTATGTTTTGGTGATTTGATAAGAGTTTTTGTGGTGCAGCAGATTAGTGCTTAAATAAATTAATTAATAATGAACTCATATGAATTTATGTGTTCGCGTCGGTCGATGTAAGTTACGCACCTCCCGAAATGCAACGTGTGTATCGTTGATTAGGGGTGGGCACGGATCGGATATCCGGGTTTTTGAAGGTATTTGTGATTTGCTTCGTATGTTACGGATATCTAATTTTGGTATTTGCTTTGCTTCGGAAAAATACGGATATCCGGAAAAACGGATATCCGGAAAATAAACAGATATTTGCGGATATTTACGAATACTTACGAATATCTCATCCGTTACAAATAATCTTATATAAATTTATCTTGTAAATTTTTTTACATGATATATAAAATAAAAAATAAAGAAGTAGTAAATTTTCATATTTATAATTTTATATGTTTAAGTTAACAACTATAATAACACAAAACTTAAGATTTTTTTATAAACTTTTCTCTTCTTTTTTATCTAATAATTTTATATAAGTAATAATGTGAATCTAATTAGTCAAATCATAAGCTATAATAATAGTTTTATACATTAAAAATTTTAAATATAATCAAAATATACATATATTTATATATTTCCGGATCGGATCGGATATCCGCTTCCCAAAATTTTAATATTTGTGATTTGCTTCAATTTTAACGGATATTGATTTTTAGTATTTGCTTTGATTCGAAAGTTTACGGATATCCGGAATTTTCGGATCGAATCGAGACGAATAACGAATCGAATCAAATTTAACGAATAAAATGCCCAGCCCTATCGTTGATCAAAGAACATGGGCGTGTTCGTGTGTTTGTGTGTATGAACCCTTTGACCAGTCAAACAACTCAAACTTTGGCCCTTTCCTTACGGGCTTGCTAACACCCATTTGTATACTTTGACATCATACATTATACGTATAGAGTATATATAGCTTATACGCACGTAATAGAACTGTGTAGATTTTTAATGTCGGCTTTTCTGTTTAACATTTAGGAAATATGTGAGTTTTCTTTTATTATAAAGGATCTAAGAATTGTTGTTTTGGGATCAAAAGAAAACCATGGCTAATGAGTAAATATTGGTATTTAATTTAAAGGATCTCCATATTTCTTAAATATAACTTAAAAATCATAATCAAAGACTAAAGTAATTTCCAAAACTTGTGATACAGTATTCTAACCATTAAAATAATTATATAGATGATTTTACAGTTTCTTGCCACTAATAACTAGATGACATTTTTAAACAAAACAAAAAAAACTAGATGACATATTCTATGTGGATATATTAGACTAAATTTCTCTTCGTTAGCATAATACAAGTTTTTGAAATATTATATTTTAATTTTATATAATTTCTGTAATTTACAAAATAATATAATTAATAGCTTAAAAAATTAAGAAAGTAAAGCAGATAAAACTAGATCAAGATATATCTTTCTGAGTCAAATAGTAAAACATATACTACTACAGTTTTGGTGCCAACATTTCGATTTCAGTTAGTGGCGAAAATGTAATTTTCCGGAATAATACTTTGATTTTATTAGAAAAGGGTTTTTCAGTTAGAAATCCATATAATTCAATTGACTAAAATGGTTTAAATTTTTTGAAGAAGAAAGTACATGTGGACGTGGGGGTAGAGCGAAACCCTAAACATCGATAATGTAGATTTTATTTATATTAAGAGAAGTCGTATTTCGAGGAATGGATATGCTTTCTATAGTTATAAAGTATAGTTCTTTCTCTTGATAAGCGCACAAAAATCAATTCCATATCTTCTTTTAGTTTAACATTTTTACCGTATATGACATCTTGTACAGTGCACTTTTTAAAAACAAAATACATGTTTACTATGTGGTTTGTCTGCATACTTATTAACTGATTTTTACTAATTCAAAAACTACCATAATAAATTATTATTTATGTTTCCATCAAACATTAAATTATTTTTATATGATGATCTTTTATCAAAATATATATTTTTTATTATTGAGTCAAAATTATTAAAAAAATTATTTAGATAATATTATATAAATGCTTTTGTTTGATTAATATTTAATTATAATTTGTTTTCTATTTTATTTATTCACTTTTATAATATAAAATATTATTTTATATCACAAATAATAAATTATATATAGAATGTATATATATAAGAGTTATCATGTTGTTACAATATTTCCACACAACAAAACAATATATAAGAATTATCTTATTTTTGAAAATATGTTATTTGTAACAACTTTATTATATTAATTTATAATTATTATTTAAGGTAACATATAAATTTAATTTATTAACATAACTATATAGTAAATTATATATATATATATATATCTTTTTCAATTAAAACTATAATCGGTATTAACCCTTCAACTTTTAACGTGAGAGTTCAGATATGAATAATTACTTCACGAATAATAATATAGATTTTTGTATAGATCAATAATAGACTGCATGTTCTGTTTGCTCTTATAAAAGAGATTACCAAATATATATTTTACTAACTAATATTTTATGGCGTTGTCAAATTAAACCTTATTACGTTCAAGGATTAATATTACATATTTTATTTAATAAAAATTCTTAAGTATAACTTTAGAAAATATTACATATTGATTGTCGTATAATTGTTTTAGTTAGTTGAAACATACCTTTAGGGTTATTAACTATGTAATGCGGGTGTCAAACTCAAAACATATCAATAAGTATACGATTTAAGGTAATTTCTCAAACAAAATTGGGCTAGGCTAATTATGTCAAACTTAGATCTATACTAGATTTTGACCCGCGCAATCGCGCGGGTGTTTGTTTTCGTTTATAGTTATATAAACATTTTGTTTTCACTTATAAATTGGTATATATTATAGTAATCACATATTTACGATATGTATAGTAAATGTTTTTCAAACATAATAATATTATATAATAAGTGTTTTAATCAAATAGATTGTTTCACATTTTCTATATTATACATGACTTTCAAACATGTGTTTGTTTCTTCTTCTATATTTTATTGTTTGTTAGATTAATATTTCATTTTTAGATAAAGTAATATAAATAGAGCTTGATTAAATATTAGTGTAATTTAATTTGCAAAGATAATATAACTTCGAAGAAATTTTTGCTAAAAACTAAACTTATATCTTCATAAATTAATATTATAAAAAGTTTATTAAAAAGGAATTTTTTAAACAATTTTTTTTTTTTAAATAATACAATTTTAAAATTTTACATCGAAATAAATTTATCTAATATATATAACGTGTAGATTTTGTTAAGGTATATAAATATTACATATTAATAATCTGTTATTTTTGTTAATATATTCTGGATGCATTTAACTATTATTGACATATTTCCTTATAAATAATAGAAGATTCCTAAATTTATATCTATTGACATATTTTGCGTGACTAAGTTGGAAGGTATGGGGTAATTTACCAAAAACAAAATTGTTAAGCATATTATAAGATATAATAATGATAATATTATTAGAGAGTTAATGTAACATAACTTTCTAGTAATAATCCATTTTTTAAAAAATCACACATGAAATCAAGTTATGACTTCTGTTTTAATATATAAGATATACATATTAAAATTATGTTTCTTTGAAATTATAATAACAAAAGTTGTCAGGAGGGGCCATATAATTCAATATTTGAAAACAGATTCGCAATATATTTCAAATTAAAATAAGAATAGCCAATTTCATTGTTTGTTTATATTTTTCATAAACAATTAATAAAAAAGCCTACATAAATACAACCGTCACTTCACTTGTTTCCTTCATACTCCTCATCTTATTCTCTCTCTCTCCCTCTCCTTTTCCCGGCATAACTTGTGTGTGGTCCTAAACTCCATAACTTGTTTCATCCATAAAGTATAGTTTGCTCAGTACCTATTACTCTTACTAGTTTCGAATTATATTGAGAATAAACAAAAGAAAATGTCGGGAAGAAGATCACGTTCGAGGCAATCATCAGGAACTTCAAGGATCTCAGAAGAACAGATCAACGATCTCATTATCAAGTTGCAGCAGCTTCTTCCTGAGCTCAGGGACAATCGTCGCTCCGACAAGGTATGCTAAATATAAGAATTTAACTTAATATACAATATATGTATCTATGGCATGAAAATGATGATATATAGATAATCATAATATGAAAGGTTTCAGCAGCGAGAGTGTTACAAGAGACGTGCAACTACATAAGGAATCTGCATAGAGAGGTTGATGATCTTAGTGAGAGGCTATCTGAGCTACTCGCAAATACAGACACTGCTCAAGCTGCTTTAATCAGAAGTTTACTTACCCAATAATTCATATCTTCTTCTTCTTTTCTACTATAATAATAATATATAGTATGCGGATTTGGTTTTTCTAATAGATGATATGACCTTATATGTTTAATGTTTTGAGTTCGTCACTTCTGCTTCGGTCATAAATACTCGCTTGTTTCCTATATAAAACCTTGCCCCTTTTTCAGTTAATTTCTTTGTCTCTTTTCAGAATTCTGTTAGGGTTTTGTTCACCCTAAGATTTGCTATGTTCACTTTCTAACCTTCGTTTGTTTGTCCCTTTTAGTAATTTTTTAAAATGTCATACAAGATAATTTACATTAAAAATGACGAAGATTAACATAAGCACACCACTTAACAATTCCATGTTTTACTATATTGCGACAAGACTAGAAGAAACTTTACAACTCTTAGAAAATAATAACAAGCTCTTGGACATTAAAAAGGTTAAATTTGATATATCCAGAAATTTTTGACATAATACCCGACTAAATGACTTTGATAAAATTGTCCAAGAACATACTCAATCTAGCTCACTAGCTAGTTTTGGTGTTGACGACGTATTGACGTAATCACGAATGCCATACCTTTGGAAAAAAGAAAAGTATACTATAGGAACCATTATATGAGGTTTCAAAATATCCAAAGAATAATACAAAGATGTCATAACAGATTATTACTGTTATTATATATATACATCATACATGATAAAGTAATTAGATATTTTGAGACCGAGGCATATAGATGCAACCAAATCATTTCAGAGTATTAGCATCTTGAAGGACTGAAAGATTATGTTTATGGACGACAAAGTATGGGGTGAATTTGACGCTATGCACTCAAAAGAAGCACCAAAAGCTGCAAATTTTATGCCATGACCTAATTAATTCATTTTTGGCAATCTTGTTTACTTTTGTAGGTTTCTTTCCTTCCCACCGAACATATATATATATTTACAAGATATTTTTGAATAACAAAAAAACTACATTACAAATGTGAGGATTGAACAAAAAAAAAATTACCTGTATATGAAAGCACACTTGCTTGTACAACAGAGCATTTTTCGCTAGTTAAAAAGCCTAACTTACACATGACGAAAGCCCATATGCACTTTTTAGTAAGAGATTTCATGTAATACCATTTTGATGGACAGCTTGTCAAAGACAAAATTACCATCGAGGTAAGTTGAATCTAATAAATATACTGCTATTCCTTCATATATAATAATATACTAAAACTTAAGTGATCTATACTATTATCTAAGAAGTAAATTTGCTTAGTTGTCATATTCTCCATAAGTTTAGGTAATTTTGTTTATTTAGCATATTTATAATATTATATATAATTTAATTATAAATAAAACGAATTTATATGAATATATTATATTTTAGAAGATAAGATAATTATTTTGAATTATGTTGTTATCGAAAAATATATTTTAAGAATTATCTTATTATCTAGAAATATATTTTTATATATAAAACTTAAAAAGATAATTCTTATGTATTATTTTATTATGTTGAAAATATATTTTTCATTATAAAACTTAAAATTAAGATATAAAATTATATTATTAGTAATTAAATTTATATTTTAGAAAATAAGTTAATTCTTATGTATTATTATCTTGAAAATCTATTTTTCTATTATAAATTTTAAAATTAACATGTAAAAGATCTATACTATTATTTAAGAAGTAAATTTGCTTAGTTGTCATGTTCTCCATAAGTTTAAGTAATTTTGTTTATTTAGCATATTTATAATATTATATAGAATTTATCTATAAATAAAACGAATTTATATGAATATATTATATTTTAGAAGATAAGATAATTATTTTGAATTATGTTGTTATAGAGAAATCTATTTTAAGAATTATCTTATTATCTAGAAATATATTTTTATATATAACACTTAAAAAGATAATTCTTATGTATTATTTTATTATGTTGAAAATATATTTTTCATTATAAAACTTAAAACTAAGATATAAAATTATATTATTAATAATTAAATTTATATTTTAGAAAATAAGTTAATTCTTATGTATTATTATCTTGAAAATATATTTTTCTATTATAAATTTTAAAATTAACATGTAAGAAATCTATACTATTATTTAAGAAGTGAATTTGATGTTTGATGATTTGTCATATTTTCCATGATTTTAAGTAATTTTAATAATTTATGGGAATTTCTATAATTTTATATATAATTTATTATATATTTAAAACATATTTATATTAATAGTATCAGATTCTTAGAAAATAAGATATTCCTTATGTATTAAGTTGTTGTCTTGAAAATATATTTTTGTATTATAAATTTAAAATTAAGATATAAAAAGTTGTAGTTTTCTTATTTATTATGTTGTTATCTTGAAAATATACTTTTATATTATATAATTTAAAAGTAAAATCATCTATTATTAATTAAATATAAATTCTCACTCAAGAAAAAATATTTAAGAATTGAATTTGCTGATTCATTAAGTTCTTCATGATTTTAGGTAATTTTAATTATATGTCACAATTTTTATAATCTTATATAATTAAAATTTTTTATCATATTATATTTTTAGATAATAAATAACTTATGCATTATATTTTTTATCTTTAAAACATGTTTTCTATTATAAAATTAAAATTAAGATATAAGAATTAAAATTAAATATAAATTAAGTAAGAACATGTATAAATATTATAATTAAATATAAATAAAGCAAAATAATTATAGAAATATATTCTTTTAAATATTTCTGAAGTTTGAGTTTTGTCATTAATAATTATTTAATGTTTGATTTTTAATTTTTGAAAACATAATTATGCTGATTTTTAAATTAATGAAACATTAACTAATAAATATTTATAAGGGAATTATGCCCGCAAGTGCGGGCAAAACACCTAGTTATAAAGTAATTACTATGTAATAAATATACTGCTGTTCCTTCATAATAATTTTCAACACTATTTTAAAAAGTAATTATTATGTAATTTTGGAAAATTGTATACTAATTTTCTTTTTGTTTTGTTTTGAATGAGCATGATCATGTATTTTGCAAAACAATGTTTTTATCAGCATGCAAAACTATGTTAAATGTATGGTCTTTTGCTAGTCCCTTTTTAAAGTTGTTCTTTTTTAATTTTGCGAGGACCAAATACACTATTACATATTTATTTTGATAAAGTCTCACTTTTATTAATTTAGTATTTGCTGTCCAAAATTATCGTGGTCAAAAATTTTGCCAAATAAAGAGCCCCACAATTAAATAGCTTATAAAATATTCTCTCTTTCTAATATGTGTAAACACACAAACACATATTAAAAACACATTAAATTTGATTGTGATTGTATTGATTTTTTGTAATTAGTTATTTTCTATAATTTTAAACCAATAAATTTTCAAAAAGTACAATTAAATATTTTGAAATTTACAATACACCATATAACTAATGAAATTTGCATAGCAATTTCAAACATATAAACAAAACAAATACAGTATAATTTTTTTTTTTTTGGTGAAAGATGTAAATACAGTATAAGTTTTTACACCGAAACAAATAAAAAACAAAATATAAGTTCATGGGAAGAGTTGGGACACGGGAGTGGCACGTGACATAGGATTAGTCAACTGGTAATTAATAGGTTACTCTGCCAGGAAGTTAATACACGGAAACTCCCTATGCATTATCTCTAATTATAGTTTATCCAATTTTAATTAAATTTTCTTTGCTTCTCTAATCTCCCAGCCCAAAATATTTCAAGCACTCTGTATCGATTTGGAATCCAAAACACATTTCGATCCCACCAACTCTCATCTCTACGTTCTTCCTTTCGCCGGAGGAAGAACGTCGGTGACGACGACGGTGCGTGCGAAAGATCGATCTATAGCGTTTTACATATTTGTCCAAGGGTTTTATACGATTAGACCACAGGATTAACATGGGGAATTGCTTTGAATCTTGCTCAAAGAAGAAGGATAATAAGGATGAAAATGTTAACTCCCCAGTGAACTTGAAACCCTTTTCACGTAAGCTCTTCTCAACCTTTGATTTATCCCCTCTCTATGGTTCATTTTACTAAATTTCATACTTGAATCTTCTAGGATTTCTCGTAATCTTGTGAGTTATTGCATTGCTTAGGTTACTTAATTAGGAGATTAGGTTTATGCGTGGTTTTTTGGATTCCACGATAACAGAAAAAAAGAAAAAACTCGAATCTCCATGCAGGATCAGTCATGAGATTTTGAGAACTATAAACATTTAGTACAATTTTAAATGAGATTTTGGTTTAACAATTTGGGAACTCTATGTTTATGTATATTAACTCATATGCCAGTTTGGCCATGACACCATGTTCTTGAAGTAGTTTTCTGTTGATAATTTCACATTTTGATGTAAGAATGTGGCACTGTCATGGTTCAGAAGGTGATAGTGATACTGGAAGAATCTCGAATCTTTCGTATCCATGGAGTTTAAAACCTCTGATTACAAGAAAAAGTGAAGCTAGCAGCGTTCTACATGCACCGAGCAAAGAAGGAGACGTAATGCATTCCCAACATTTGAAGTCGTTTACGTTAGATGAGCTAAAGAATGCTACAGGAAACTTCTGTCCAGAGAGTCTCATTGGAGAAGGAGGGTTCGGGTTTGTTTACAAGGGTTGTATCAATGGTGGACCTGGAACCGACCTTGCTGTTGCTGTAAAGAAGCTTAAGACTGAAGGGTTTCAGGGCCATAAGGAGTGGCAGGTAAGCTTATTTTCAATATTTTGTTATGATTTTTCAGAGCCTGATCTGAGATTTAAAGAGGCCATAAACTTTGTTAGGCTTATCTTTGAAAAAATACTTTGTTAGGCTAAAGAAAATATTCTATCCGGTTGTGTCCATGACCAGCCCTGGATTTTCTCTAGAGGCTAATATATTGAAAATGTTTTACCTTTATATTGTTTTCTCCAAAAGAGGGAAGTGAATTATCTTGGGAGATTGCATCATCCAAATCTGGTGAAATTGATTGGCTACTCCTTGGAAGACAAGAACCGTCTTCTTATCTATGAGTATATGCCTAATGGAAGCTTAGAAAATCATTTGTTTGAAAGTAAGTAAAGAATCCAACACTTTTGTTTTTTTTTTCATTTAACATTCCTCATGGCCTGAGTTGTGTTCTTATTCTAGGAGGTTCCAA